ACGTTCAACATGGAAACAGAGTCGAAAATAAACAGAAGGGAGTATCCATAGGTAGGCCCATGCTAGCCTGCCTGAAAAACCTGTCGTGAATCAAAAAAGTTTAAATGCGTAGGTTATTTTGCTACTAATACCTGTAGCCTCATTTATTCCTCTTCTGGGCCTAGTTATCTCGTTAACTGTGTAGTGGCAGGTCTCTTCTAAACTCCGTAAGCCTCTCCCTTGCACGTTGAGCTGTTCTGTCTGTAGTGTTGGTGCGTTTCCATGGCAACAGTTCATTCAGACGTTCCTCCACAACTTTTGCAGCGTTCCTCTTCGACGTAGTAATCTTTATCTGAAATCCACGTTTAATCAGATCATGAGCTGCTTCGTCCGCACTCCCGTAGATCCGTAGCCCGGAGTCCCAGTGTACTCTCATCTTCGTGTAGGGTGTCTGGAATCGGATCCCCCTCTCCTTCAGGGCAGCTTTGATTGGCCCATATGCTTTACGTTTTTCGACGATATCAGCTGCATAGTCATTGTCAAAGTAAACTCGTTTGCCATCGATTTCAACCTTCTTCTGCCATGCTTTCTGTAGAACCATCTCTTTGACACAGAATTGTAAAAAGTTCACAATTATTGATCGCGGTGGTGCGGTTGTGGCCGGTTTCGGAACTAGCGCTCTATGTGCCCGTTGAACTTGGAGCTCAACTTCAGCTGGTATTTCGAGGTGAGTTTTGAATAGTTCACTTACAAAGTCAGTGACCGATTTGCCTTCCTTTTCTTCCGGTACTCCATAAATTAGAATATTATTTCTTCTAGAGCGACTCTCCAAATCCACTATCTTGTCCTGCATCTCCAAGTTTCGTTTCACGACTGTTATCAGTGTATCTTTCATTTCTAAGCAGGCTAGTTCTAGGTCCGCTATTCGTGTTTGAGCCTCTGTGATATTGGCGTTTTGACTCTGCAACTCTCGCAAAACTTCGGTTTTGAATTCAATGAGGTCATCCTTCATAGTTTTCATGACATCAGTTTTAAAATCACTCAGGTCCTGTCTCACAACTTGCTTGAAGTCCTTAAGCTCTTTAGATAGAAGCGCCAGACTTTCGAGCAGCGTGTTTTGGTTAGCAGTAGCGTTACCTGAGGCTTTTCCTTCATCGCCATCTTCGTCAGGCCCGATATCCACATCCACATCCGAGTTTGCTTGATTTTTGCTCATCTTCTTGATCTTATGACTTCTTTGCATCCTTCCTCCTCTCATACTCGAGTTTAGTTTATTTCACTGCTTTTTCTAGTGTTAGGAGGTATTTCCTAAAACGACTGTGGGGAGCAAACCACTACACGTCCATCTCGCTCTCTTGCGCCACCGGAAGCCTTGTTTTGTTTTTTGTGTTGTGTTGCGCTGCGTGTGTCCGGTGTACACACAGTATGAGATGAACAAAGTCAAGGCAATCACTATAATAAAAACACACTACAATAAAATCAATATACTGATACTAACCAGCACTGAGAGCTCTAGCAGTTTTTACTCACTCACTCACTCACTTACCCAAGTTATAGAGCAAACTCAAGGCCTGGAACTCCTCTTGATGCCAGTGTTTCCCATTTCTGTAGTTCTCCAGCAACCAGCTCAAGCTTTCCTGGAGGTGAGTGTCATTGATCCGTGGGTCATAATACTGAAGTGGCTGCCCGCAGAGTCTGTAAGAGGCGTAGAGAAGGAATCGCACGCTTTTCTCCAGCACAGCCACACAGTCCGGCCCCGACACACGCTGGATAATCATGTCCTGCTGAACGCTACGCAGACGGTCAGACACAAAACTGTACACCTGTGGATCAGAATGTAAATGAGACAGGCTTCAAATACCCATCATATTACAGATAAAGATGACAAAATGCAATTTCCAAACCTCCGTCCATGGCTGAAATGTAGAGGAAGCTGCAATGTCATCAACTAAATAGCACACAGTCTTTAAAAGCACAGATGGAGGCCGAAGGTTACAGGCTCTCGTGAATTCCTTGTCCGCGGCAGGTCGCGAGTACTCTTTGACAGCACGTGACACATCAGCACAAGGCGAGTGATCCCGCTCTGTGCCGGCCAACATCTCAAACCTGTGCAGTCGATTATGGGCCTTCCGCTGGTGTAATTCATAAGCAGGGCACATAGTCATACAGGTGCCGCGGGGCACTGAGTCTTCAGCTTTCTGCTCAACCGCTCGCTCCCTGTTTGGTTGACCCTGCTCCTCATGCCTGTGTCCTCGACCCCTCCTAGAGTAATGCCTCCTAAACACACACACATATACTGTACATATTATTTCAATTTAAAGAAACTGTTTTCTACTACTGTAATATATTTAAAATTTTTATTTATTCCTGTGATCAAAGCTGAATTTTCAGCATCATTACTCCAGTCTTCAGTCACATGATCCTTCAAAAATCAGTCTGATGATTTGCTGCTGCTGCTTATCATCAACAGTTGTGTAACAAATGATGTAAAAAATGTATCACGTTATAATGCTTCATTTCTTTCTTTTTTTTAAGAGAAGTAGAAAAGTTCGTTATGTGTTAAAAAGTATGTGTTAAACAAACTCTTGAACTTAAAATGTTACAAAATGTGTGCAATAAAAAAAAGTGTAAACGTAGAACAATGGCAAACTTTGAGGTAGATCAGAAACTGTAATAAGTAGGGGTGTAAGTTCACAAAATTCACAGTTCGGTTTGATAGGACACAGTGGTGTCACGCTTCGTACGTTTTCGATACAGGAAAAAGAAAGAAATGCTAGAGACTTTTCCTTGATTTAAAAAATTATAATTTATTAAAAGAAAAATTAATTTTAAATAAGTGTGAGTCTTGAAACTGAACTTCAAATGAACCAAGATCTACGGGCGAAGCGTGCACATTTTAATGAAAATATTGAGCGCTATATTGAACACTTTTATATCGTTACCGACAATGGTTTACGTCTATAAATACCGATACAGCTTTGATCACAGTTTTTTTCTTGAGTTTGTGGACATTTAATGATTTTCCTAAGATCACTAATGTTTCGTTAAATTGTTTCCAAGCGGTTTTCTTTTGACGTTTTTACACTGTAGAAACTGAGTGAGCGATTACATGATGTCTATATTGTGCTGTAACAAGTAGTAAAGTGGTAGAGATTCATTTTCAGTTTTGGACGAAATTGTTTTGCAGGGCCAAAATCAAGGACCATAGCGGTGACATTTCATTAGCGCCTCTCAGGTGACACGTTTTAAAGGGATAGTTCAACCAAAAATCTGTCCTAAATCACTCACCCTCATGACAGTCCAAATAAAAGATCAGAATAAAAGCCTAAATTCAAAGCGATTCAGTCTCTTCAGAAAAGTTTTGGACTAAACCGCTCATCAATCTCTTTATGAACATTTTAAAGTGTCAAAGTGGTAGTTGTGAATTTTAACTTTTGGGTGAATTATCCCTTTAAATGTGTCAGGGTCTATTGTTGAATCCTGAATATTTTTGGTTGCCGACATTTCAGTGTCTCACTAAAAAAATGATGATTGTTGATTTGATGATGATTTAGTTTTCGTTCTTCTACAGATCATGACACGCCTCAAAGGAGATCTGATAGTTTCCAGTTATTATTCAGCCAGCAAGTGACCGCATCATTGAGCCATCCTTCTCTCCATGGTCATCACCCGTAGTCCTCGTCCCCAGGTTCTGTGTGGCCTATAGGAGACTTAACAGAAAGACCATACCTGAAGCTTATCCAATGCTGCTTATTCATGACATCCTGGAATCCATGGATGGCGCCACCTGGTTCAGCACATTGGATTTGCAGTCAGGATACTGGCAGGTGGATCTGGATGAAGAGAGTAAAGAGAAAACCGCATTTATCACCAACCAGGGGCTATTCTAATTCCGTTCCATGTCGGCTCAGAAATGCTGCAGCCCCTTCCAGAGGCTTATGGAGAAGGTCCTGGCAAATTCTGTAGCAAGACCCACCTGTATTGATGCAGCCTGACCTCAACCAACCTCTTCAGGTGAATACTGATGCCAGTGATGTGGGACTGGGAGCTATTCTCACCCAGCAAACACCTGAGGGGGAAAGAGCAATAGCATATGCTTCAAGGACATTACGAGGAGCAGAACTAAATTACTCCACATCAGGAAAAGAGTGTCTGGCTGTGGTCTGGGAGGTGGAAAAACAGAAGAATTACCTTGATGGGAGGCAGTTTGATATCTACAGCGACCAATAGCCTTCAATAGTCCCCAAACCTCCTCTCAATTGACCCGGCGGACTCTTAGATTGCAGCGGTTCATCTTGCTAGTACATCACTGGAAAGGATGTCACTGGATAAAGATGACAAAATGCAATTTCCAAACCTCCGTCCATGGCTGAAATGTAGAGGAAGCTGCAATGTCATCAACTAAATAGCACACAGTCTTTAAAAGCACAGATGGAGGCCGAAGGTTACAGGCTCTCGTGAATTCCTTGTCCGCGGCAGGTCGCGAGTACTCTTTGACAGCACGTGACACATCAGCACAAGGCGAGTGATCCCGCTCTGTGCAGGCCAACATCTCAAACCTGTGTCTGGGTGGTGGAAAAACAGAAGAATTACCTTGATGGGAGGCAGTTTGATATCTACAGCGACCAATAGCCTTCAATAGTCCCCAAACCTCCTCTCAATTGACCCGGCGGACTCTTAGGTTGCAGCGGTTCATCTTGCTAGTACATCACTGGAAATGATGTCTCAACCTGGGTCCCAATGCCTCGTCACGAGTCTGTCAGTCTGTGGAAGGAGACGATGTGCACTGTTTGTTTGTTCTGTTTTTTTATGATACAGAATTACAAGTGATTTTTGTGAAATTGAAGATCAAACCAAAGAATGTCTAAAATGGGGAGAACTCCCATTATCAGTAAACTTCTGGGTCCTGAACTGGTTGCAGTTCGACATATGAAGGCGCTCACATAACGAAATGGAGGTCTATGGAGTTATACCCCTCAAAATACACTTTTCTCAGGAAGGATATAATTTTTGTCTAGTAATTTGAATCTTGTATTCGAAAGGAGATGCAAAGCAATTACACATTGCTGGGTGTTGGATTTTTTAGAGTCACTTTTGCTTTAAAAGGTCTTTAAAAAATGTCAATGACATCATACACGTCGTACGACCAGAGACCTGCTTTACGGTAATTCTTCAGGCGCCGCCATAATGCGAAGGGGAACTTTCCCATTCCTCTCATAGCGGGAATTGAGAAAAATGCCTGTTTCGTGCGCTGCTCAGCCAATTGAAAACAGGTCGCGAGGAAATAACTTTCACAAACAAGACTAAATAATTGTGTCTGGTTGTATTTGGTCATGACGCAATTAGTAATAGTAACGTTCAAAGGAGAAAGTCTGTGAAATGTAAAATACTACTGTTATTTTGACACGAAATTAAGTTTTAATAGATTTTCTGCCGACAATGTAGTTGTTTAAAAGTCAAATCTATGGTTTATTTATAAAAAGTTTTAAAAAATCCTTAACAGCGGGTGGCAAGTCTTTCTGTAGAAGGTCTTCTGAACTTTCGTCATTAAATGAATAAACAAAGTACTTAAACCACTTGTGAAGACATCCAAATCAAGCCACTTCGCTGGGTTTCTTTGCAGGAGAGAGCAAAGTAATTTGCAGCATTCTGTGAAGAAAGAGAAGAGAAGTCCTATTATTACCTTAAACTTTACACTCGCTCTCTTTGATTAAGAGTCTAAGTTGAAATATCTAAATATTACTGCATTACCCACACAACCATTTATATTACTTTGTTCTACTTTGTATGATTTAGAATTGCAAGTGATCTTTGCTGAAATGTAGATCTAACCTTGTGATACGCCATCTCTTGTCCAGATGTTGTCATTTAGCATATCCAAGTCATCTGAAGATGGAAATTCTCCACACACCAGTGTAAACATGAGGACCCCGAGTGACCACACTGTCGCTGGTTTCCCGTGATAAAAGCCGTATGATTCATACTCAAGGGGGCAGTACTCTTCGGTGCCTGCAAAAAAGAGAAAAAAGTATTCATTAGCATGCAAGAAATGATTTGATGCTATTGATTCACAATGGTGGATCCCATTACATGATACTTTGTAAGACCTTGACGGCTTCTGGCCTGTCATCTAAGTTTGAGACCCACATTACAGCTCTGAGGAATAATACAAACCAGCAAAGGACGTTTATCCCGCATCGGTCAGGATTTCTCCGCATCCAAAGTCAATCAATTTGACATCCAGGGTCTCCGGGTTGATCAGGAGGTTTTCTAGTTTTATGTCGCGATGCAACACTCCACGTTGGCAGCATGTTTGAGCTGCGACTGCTGCCAGAAGCATGATGACCTTTGCCACGTTCTCGTCGATGTAGTAGTCGTGCCGGTCTAGATATTCGATCAAGCTCTCACAGGGTGTAGGGAACTCTAGAACCATAATGTAACGATTTGGCTCTTCGTCCCAGTCCAGAAGCTGGATGATCTGGGGAACCCTGGGGCCTTTGTTGGCGAGAATTAGCAGACCGATCTCCAGAGGAACGGGTTCAGGATTATCCTCCTAGAAGAAAGACAATTCTTATGATCTTACTGTACATGGAGAAAAGATGTCGAACACTACTAAACTACAGACAATAGCAGTTTGTCCATTGAAAAATGAACTGAGAGAAACAGAGTACTTAAAATGTTGATCCACTCAATACCCACAGTATCAGCAAATTTCAGCGCCACCTAATCAACAAAACAAAAAATGGATTTGTGTTAGAATTATTTCCAATGTGTGCAGTTCATATTTCAGTCATCAACCTTGAACAGACCTATTCAGTTTCATGAATTTAAATTCTAATCATGTAGAGCATGTCTAACAATTTAAAAAGGTCTGAGAGGTCAGGTGCTCTAAGTAGTGAACATAAGATACACTGAGAATGCTTGAAAAGAAGAGTTATTCGAATATACGATAGTGCAAGAACACTTTGATAGATAATGCAAGTAAAATAAGTGACCTTAAGGCCATCTTTCAAGCGAGTCCCAGCATAAACGCTTCCAAATCCTCCTTCACCGAGCTTCCTGCCGACTTCATAGCTCCAGCAACCGACGTCTGTTAAAAGAAACATAAGAAGAGTTGACATGAAAACTGCTTTTTGCCTGAGTTGACATGAGTAAAGACAGATTTAATATCACAACACAAGTTTGTCTGTATTGTGTTGTGTCGGAGTCATGACAGTCAACTTACAAATAATCTCATTCTCAGATACAGTGTCCCCTGTTGGTCCGACATGGGGGACATCATCTTCCCAGTCTGACGTGGCACAGACTGGAACTGGAGGGCCATCATCTTCCCAGTCTGGAGGGACATCATCTTCCCAGTCTGGAGGGCCATCATCTTCCCAGTCTGGAGGAACATCATCTTCCCCGTCTGGAACTGTAGGGCCATCATCTTCCCAGTCTGATGTGGCACAGACTGGAACATCAACACAACAGTCAGCCATTTCCAATCCTGGAGCTGATGTGGTGCTGACTGGGACCTGGGGGACGTCCACACTGGAGTCTGCCACATCTCGGACAGGAACTCGACGGACGTTGGCTCTATAGGTGGCCACATCTAGGACTGGAAGTCGACGGACGTTGGCTCTATAGGAGGCCACATCTAGGACTGGAACTCTATAGTCAGATGTGGCACAGGCTCTGAGGATCCCAGCACTGAGAGCTCTAGCAGTTTTCAAAACTGTACACCTGTACAAAACTGTACACCTGTGGATCAGAATGTAAATGAGACAGGCTTCAAATACCCATCATATTACAGATAAAGATGACAAAATGCAATTTCCAAACCTCCGTCCATGGCTGAAATGTAGAGGAAGCTGCAATGTCATCAGCTAAATAGCACACAGTCTTTAAAAGCACAGATGGAGGCCGAAGGTTACAGGCTCTCGTGAATTCCTTGTCCGCGGCAGGTCGCGAGTACTCTTTGACAGCACGTGACACATCAGCACAAGGCGAGTGATCCCGCTCTGTGCAGGCCAACATCTCAAACCTGTGTCTGGGTGGTGGAAAAACAGAAGAATTACCTTGATGGGAGGCAGTTTGATATCTACAGCGACCAATAGCCTTCAATAGTCCCCAAACCTCCTCTCAATTGACCCGGCGGACTCTTAGGTTGCAGCGGTTCATCTTGCTAGTACATCACTGGAAAGGATGTCTCAACCTGGGTCCCGATGCCTCGTCACGAGTCTGTCAGTCTGTGTCACCGAGCTTCCTGCCGACTTCATAGCTCCAGCAACCGACGTCTGTTAAAAGAAACATAAGAAGAGTTGACATGAAAACTGCTTTTTGCCTGAGTTGACATGAGTAAAGACAGATATAATATCACAACACAAATTTGTCTGTATTGTGTTGTGTCGGAGTCATGACAGTCAACTTACAAATAATCTCATTCTCAGATACAGTGTCCCCTGTTGGTCCGACATGGGGGACATCATCTTCCCAGTCTGACGTGGCACAGACTGGAACTGGAGGGCCATCATCTTCCCAGTCTGGAGGGCCATCATCTTCCCAGTCTGGAGGAACATCATCTTCCCCGTCTGGAACTGTAGGGCCATCATCTTCCCAGTCTGATGTGGCACAGACTGGAACATCAACACAACAGTCAGCCATTTCCAATCCTGGAGCTGATGTGGTGCTGACTGGGACCTGGGGGACGTCCACACTGGAGTCTGCCACATCTCGGACAGGAACTCGACGGACGTTGGCTCTATAGGTGGCCACATCTAGGACTGGAAGTCGACGGACGTTGGCTCTATAGGAGGCCACATCTAGGACTGGAACTCTATAGTCAGATGTGGCACAGGCTCTGAGGATCCCAGCACTGAGAGCTCTAGCAGTTTTCACTCACTCACTCACTCACTCACTCACCCAAGTTATAGAGCAAACTCAAGGCCTGGAACTCCTCTTGATGCCAGTGTTTCCCATTTCTGTAGTTCTCCAGCAACCAGCTCAAGCTTTCCTGGAGGTGAGTGTCATTGATCCGTGGGTCATAATACTGAAGTGGCTGCCCGCAGAGTCTGTAAGAGGCGTAGAGAAGGAATCGCACGCTTTTCTCCAGCACAGCCACACAGTCCGGCCCCGACACACGCTGGATAATCATGTCCCGCTGAAATCTACGCAGACGGTCAGACACAAAACTGTACACCTGTGGATCAGAATGTAAATGAGACAGGCTTCAAATACCCTTCATATTACAGATAAAGATGACAAAATGCAATTTCCAAACCTCCGTCCATGGCTGAAATGTAGAGGAAGCTGCAATGTCATCAACTAAATAGCACACAGTCTTTAAAAGCACAGATGGAGGCCGAAGGTTACAGGCTCTCGTGAATTCCTTGTCCGCGGCAGGTCGCGAGTACTCTTTGACAGCACGTGACACATCAGCACAAGGCGAGTGATCCCGCTCTGTGCAGGCCAACATCTCAAACCTGTGCAGTCGATTATGGGCCTTCCGCTGGTGTAATTCATAAGGGCACATAGTCATACAGGTGCCGCGGGGCACTGAGTCTTCAGCTTTCTGCTCAACCGCTCGCTCCCTGTTTGGTTGACCCTGCTCCTCATGCCTGTGTCCTCGACCCCTCCTAGAGTGATGCCCTCTAAACACACACACATATACCGTACATATTATTTAAATTTAAAGAAACTGTTTTCTACTACTGTAATATATTTAAAATTTTAATTTATTCCTGTGATCAAAGCTGAATTTTCAGCATCATTACTCCAGTCTTCAGTCACATGATCCTTCAGAAATCAGTCTGATGATTTGCTGCTGCTTCTTATCATCAACAGTTGTGTATTTTGTGGAGACATATATACATTAATAGTTTTTTTTCAGTAAGGACACATTACATTGATCAATAGGCCTTTTTCACGGAAGTTAGAACGCACATCCGGTTCAGCGTTTGTTGTGTAAAGACACTTCCGGTCGTAATAACAATGGCTGAAGCTACATCGACCTGTAGTGTTCCTCACTGCAAAAGTAATAAGCAGCGGCAACCATATTTCAGTTTTCATGGTTTTCCCAGCAATAATTGTCTGAGAAAAAAGTGGATACATGCTATAAAACGAGTAGAAGGACCGAAGTTTACGATCCTCAGAGGCAGCACATTTGTTTGTAGCCGACACTTCAGTGATGCACTGTAAAAAAAAAAATCGACATACAAAAATAAGAAAAAAATAAATAAATTTAGAAAAAAAAACCTAAAAACAAGCAAAATTATCTGCCAATGGGGTGAGAAAATTTTTACTTAACAAGACTTCTTGAAACAAGACAAATAAACTTGTGATAAAAAAGTTCTTAAGAATATATACACATTTTAAGGGTTTCAGGCTTATTTTGAGAGAAAAGTTTGGTTTAAATGATCTTAATATAAGAATATATATACACATTGTAAGGGTTTCGGGCTTATTTTTAGGGACAGATTTGGTTTAAAATATCTTGATATAAGAATATATATACACATTTTAAGGGTTTCAGGCTTATTTTGAGAGAAAAGTTTGGTTTAAATGATCTTGATATAAGAATATATATACACATTTTAAGGGTTTCGGGCTTATTTTGAGAGAAAAGTTTGGTTTAAATGATCTTGATATAAGAATATATATACACATTTTAAGGGTTTCGGGCTTATTTTGAGAGAAAAGTTTGGTTTAAATGATCTTGATATAAGAATATACACATTTTAAGGGTTTCGGGCTTATTTTTAGGGAAAGGTTTGGTTTAAAATATCTTGATTTAAGAATATATATATATACATTATAAGAGTGTCAGGCTTATTTTGAATGAAAGGTTTGGTTTAAAATAAGTATTTAAAGTATTAAAATAAGTAACTAAGAACTAACATGGATGTCTCAATCGAGACTATTTCTAAAAATAAGCTCTGAAACGGATATACATTTATTAAATCCGGTACAACAAACATGCTCTTAATATTGCTATATCAACTCCAAATGCAAAAGGAAAGCAAACGATTGTTACAAAAATTACAGCAATGCATCACATCACAGCAGTTGGTAAGCATATTAAAACAAAGCTGTAAAATTCAATTAGTAAACTTGAAAAAAGCATGCAAACCAATTGCCTTGAAAAAAAACTGAGTAAAGTGAAATAGGAATGTGCATGTCTAGTAGTGTACACTTACATGAGAGCTCCAGTAACTTAAAACTAATTTCATTTAGTTAAGATGTACTCATTTATGCTAGTTGAGTTTAATTTACTTCATAAGCAATCCAGTTTACTTGTTAAAACCACGCAAACTGATTGCCTTAAAAATAGCAAGTAAGCTTTACTCTAATAAATTAAGTAATAATGTTAGTTAATAATAATGTTCATGTTAGTTCACAGTGCATTAACTAATGTTAACCAATACAATCATTGGTTTTAATGTTTTAGGAAATGTTTAACTAATTAACCTTGTGTTACCCAAAAACATTTAAGTACAACAACATATTTTTTAAAATATAAAATCTGAATAAAAAAAAATATATTTGAGACCATACCCTGACTAACACATCCTCAACAAACAGTAATTCAATAAATAACAATTAATCACTTTAATCAATAACACTTCGGAGACCAAACTTGGATATAAAATTGTAAAAAATTCAACAATGGAAAAGCAATGTCTCTGTCACACATGTACATTAGAAATGAATATGCCGACAGCATCTTAAAGGGATAGTTCACCCGAAAAACTTCGTTCCAAACCCCTAAGACATTCGTTCATCTTCGGAACACAAATAAAGACATTTTTGATGAAATCTGAGAGCTTTCGGTCCCTCCATAGATACAGTCGGTTGGTCTGGGAACGCCCCCGGGAACGCCCCGTCACGTGGTGTGAATTTAGCCCGTGGGGGAAAACATTGCCTTGGCGCTCATTGAAATACATGGGACAATCATGCCGAAGAGTTGCTGTGTCATTTTCTGTACCACCAATAAACTAACAAATTATAAATTGAAGTTCTACAGCCTTTCTTACATACATACAGAACCGGATAGGAGGACAAAATGGCAAAATTAATAATATCTTATTAGATTACTGTGTGAGTAGAGGTCCCTGTGTGATAGTAGTAGATGTTTAACTCGTATTAGGCAGTGGGCCAGATTTGTCTGACGTTACATACCTTACGAAAAATAACTATAGCTATTAGTAATCCTATGGCTATTAGTATTCTATAGTAGTGTATAATACTTCTGTGATGTTCTTTAATACCTCTATACTTCTAGGCTATGTCCCAAAATACTATAGTTTTCCTATAGGAATATTAACGTTACTATAATATTTTGTCCTAAAATACAACAAGATTCCTTTAGTTGTTTTTTATAAGGGATATGTCTCTCAGTCACATTAGCGTTATCAGCTGAAGGTTATCAGACTGCAGTCTGTGAGAATTCGGATAACTGTCAGCAAAGTCCCTCTGCAATTTCGTAGCTAAAACTGATCACCGTTTTACAAAAGGATTAATAGTTTGGAGTGAAGCATACGTACAGTTGGTAAGTGACAAGGTTTTATGGACTTATACACTTAACTTATACGCAAGTTGATTGAGTAATAGGCTTGTGTAGCCGTTAGCTTCCGCGATGTCTTACCTGAAGATTCAACCAGATATAATAGTCTGGAAACGACACCTCCGGCCATTTGCTTGGGTCATTGACCCAGTTTTTAATTAAATAAGGGCAATCAACCTATTACAGTTAATTTTGCAATGTACCGTTGCCGGTCGGCTGGCATAAATGACTCGCAATATGACATTTTTGTCATTCAAATACATACGATGGTCGCGCTGCTTTCCCCCACGCCGACCACGCCCCCCAACTATGACGCGTTGCTGACTGTATCTATTGACTACAACGTCATTGCAACTTAATAAAAATAATCCAACTAATGGGTTGATGTAGTGTAAACAGCCCAGTGCTTCTGGGTTCTACGGACATTCATTCTTCCGAACGCTCTCTCACTATTGGCCAACGCTAGTCATGTGTCATGCTGGCCAATAATAAGCCTACGCTCTGACGTAGAACCCAGAAGCACTGGGCTGTTTACACTACATCAACAGTGTAGGAGAATGACATTGAAGAGAAGAGATCATAATATTACTCATAAAGATCATAAAGAGACTCGCTTCATAATATTAAAGCTGAACTACTGTAGTCACATGGACTATTTTTACAATGTTTTTACTACCTTTCTGGGCCTTGAAACTTGCAATGATGTTGTGGTCATGACATTTTGCCATGATAGTGAGGTGCTAAAGGCTATGCCTGGGTTTATCTGCGGTTATGATCTAATAGCATGATACTGGGTGACCAATGGTTCAGCCTAGGCATCTAGCACTTTAAAGCCCAAGAAAGATAAGAAAGACAAAGTAATTTTTCAGAGATTGCCGTTTTGTTGGGAGTTTGTTTTGTCCCAAACCACGCATCAATTTCTGAATGAAGTTAAAGGGTTAGTTCACCCAAAAATGAAAATTCTGTCAGTATTTACTCACCCTCATGTTGTTTCAACCCCGTAAGACCTTCGTTCATCTTCGGAACACAAATTAAGATATTTAAGATATTAAGATCGCTCCTGCATACAGTCCATAGGCTTCTTGAGGTACTGGCTCTTGCTGTCCTCGAAAAGTCATTAAAGACATCGTTAAAATAGTCCAAGTGACTACAGGGGCTCAATCTTAAGTTTATCAAACGACGAGAACACTTTTGTGCGCAAAAAAACAACAAAAATAACGACTTTATTTCAACTATCACTTCCTTCTCCATGAGCCTGTAAGTCAGTTAACGTAGTGTGATTGCGTTGAGCTACGTCACACGTAGGCTCACTATTGGCTGACGCTGGTCATGTGTGTGTGATGCGTGTGACGTACAATAACAGAAGCTTACGCTATTAAACTAGTAACCTGACTCGCGCAGAGGGAGAAATAAACGAATAGTTGAAATAAAGTCGTTATTTTTGTTGCAAGAGCCAGTCCCTCAAGAAGCCTATGGACTGTATGCAGGAGCGATCTTAATATCTTAAATATCTTAATTTGTGTTCCGAAGATGAACGAAGGTCTTACGGGGTTGGAACAACATGAGGGTGAGTAAATACTGACAGAATTTTCATTTTTGGGTGAACTAACCCTTTAAGTGTTTATTTCTTTTGCGAAATCCAAATTTAAAGCATAAGACTGACCAAAATAGATGCAAATTGCCTGAGGCAGGTTCTGCAGATTATCCATTACAATACCTCTCTCAACAATGATGGCAGTAGACAGAGAGTTAGAGAGAGAGAAGTTCTTCATCAATGACAGTCCCCAACAGATACTTGTGCCCAGGCTTCATCAACATCACATACCTGAATGAAACCAAACAACAAAAAAATATTACAACAGGGAAAAGTGAAAAGGCATGAATAATCATCAGTCAGCTGCCCTGCATACACTGCCTTTAATCCATGTATTAGTTTATATCATTTATCTTTTTTTTTTCTTTTTATTACGACTCTTAATGGGCTAGTTTACCCAAAAATGAAATTAAGCCCATGATTTACTCTTCCTTAAGCAGGGCTGGGCGATAAAACGATAATTATCATAATATTTTTTCTTGATAAAACGATATCAAGAGTTCAATTAATGTTTGTGCGTCAAAAGCTGAATAAAACCAATTTGAACCGCGCGCCACACGCACCATTTATCCACTCGGCTCAAAGTCCAAATGGCAGCGCAAGTTCACTAGAGCAGAGGCGTTTACTCTGATCGTCTCGCTCACGAGATCCAGTGAGAAGCGCTTGAATTCAGTGGAGAACACAAGTCTCACTTATTTAAACCAATTTAAAGGCAGATGAAACAACACTGACAAACAGGAGAAACACTGTGCGCAACAATACAGGCGGAAAACGTACAGTTACATTCGAAAACGGTGAAACTCAACTGTTTAACTCTGGGTGAGTTGTAAAATTAGCCTATTTCAAAAAAAATTGGACTATCCCTTTAAGTGGAGAAGTGACTATTAAGATTACAGTTAAAGGGTTTATCAACAAAACCACACAACACTTAAGTAAACAGCTAGATAGATTGCAAGCAAAACCATGATCAACTCAGAATAATAACAAAAAAATGAAGGCGGCAGTAAACTCACCTCTGTATTAATTTGCTGCATAAGCCCATACAATTTCTCTCCAATGCTTCTTGAAGACTTGAAGATTGTGACAAAGTGTGGTGTGTAGAGATCCACAGCACCATTAAAGTTACTCTGCTGTCTGCAGATCTGTGGTGACTATCCTGTCAAACTCTGCAAACACCTACAACACAGGCGCACACACACACATACACACACACAAGGCATGGGACAGTGTGGACATTGTTCAATGCATGGTCAGGCCTACAGGCCAATTCTAAAGCAAACCTAAACAGAATGTGGTTTCTCATTGTGGAAAACGGGATATGCATAAGTACTTAACTTACTTGTCTCTCTGTAAAAAGAGCTCCACTGCTCCATCTGCCCACAATCTCATGTCTTCGCATTGAGAAGGTCTGGTCCATCTTTGATGCAATGAGGTTCCAGTAAGATAACATCAGTAGGGATAACATCACCTAACATTAAGTTTTTCATATTGTTAAAAAATGGCTCATTTTATCAGCAGTGATAAAGCAGTTGAGTTTGAGAAAATAAAATCACTTTTACATTGCATGCTATTCTGAATTTACTTTATTTAAAAATCAAGTATAAAGTATAATTATAGAGTATAATGCTGTTGTGAAATCACAAATACTGTCAAAACTTATCACAAACGTCATCTGTGCATAAGCTGCACGTTAACGGTAACGTTATGTGCGCCATTTCACCAGATTTATAACGTTAACCTTAATAATTTACAAACCTATGCCAACAGAGGAGAATGCATAAGTGAAAGTGGTAAAATAGGAAACCATAATTCTTACATTTGGGACAAATAAATCGTTTTTTAGGCATTCAGGAGCTGTTAGGGTAACTTAGCTACCAGAAAAAACAGGCCACACCAAGGCATATTCTTCAAGCTCCTAATATCACAATTAGTTGGTCCACATTATTTGCAGACCAGTAAAATATATCGACATACAGTAAAAAAAAAATAATTCACACGAAAGTCGCAAGCTTGATTTGATTACTCACCTTATTATTAACTTACTCCAAACACTGCATGAAAAGTGGGATTTTCGTCAGTAAGCGGCTCTGTAGATTGTCGTGGAAGTTCAGGTTTACGACTGCACACGGCAATTTACAGGTAACACTCAAAACTGCCGTGAATTGCCGGAAATTGACGTGGGCCTTGCTTGGCAGTTGTCCCCCCATTGTCCCCCCTTCTCCTAAATCTAGTGGAGGCTTTGACATGTAAATGAAAATGCTGTGAGCTATACACATGCAAATAAGGGTAGGGGAGTTTCACCCCAGGTAACATTTTTCTGAAAGGAACTTCATTCTAAGACAATCTCTGGTAGAAATAGATCAGGCTCAGTATAACCTAATTACCGTGTTTTTTTTTTTTGTTTTTTTTTGTTTTTTTTTTAACATTGCAACATGACATCCAAAAAGATAACAATCAACAAATAATAATTTCACAATAAATAAGAAACAAATAAAAATAGGACAGAATTGAACAAATGAAATAAAAACAGGAAAGGGACTATCTCTATTGTGTATAATATTATGATTTAAGAGAAAGTTAGAAACCAGTAATTTGTACTATTTAAAGAAAGAAAATAGCATACACATAAATTCACTTTTCAATTAGCTTCAATATTCTTTAGCAAATACAATTGTATCACTACATTTTTATCGATACATTTGAGAGACTCAATATAGTGAAAACTGAAAATCAGACCCAAAAAAAAAAAAAAAAAAAAAACTTCAAACAAGGTTTAGAATTATTCATTTTACTCTTGAATATGAAATTTTCCTAATAGAATTACAAGATTCATCATAACATTTACAGAAGTAGTTTTCAAAATATATGATAACATCTTTGGATGTTAATTCACAGTTATAAACAGATGTTTTTTTGTTTTTGTTTTTTACACAATTTTTTACTGGTTTATTTATTTTAAGTAGCCTAATAAAGTTATTTATTTATGCATATATGTATTTTTACATTTCATGGTAGCCTATTTGGGTATATCCACCTTATTCCTAATTTAAAATGAACAGCAGCAGAAAAGTCGACAGCCTTTCAACCTGAGTCAAAAACCAGTGAACGTAACTCTGATTGGCTGAGGCAGCATATCATCATAATCCAACCTGTAACGTCAGCCACTCTGATTGGCTGAGGCAACGTGCCAGGCATGTGGCGTGTTATTCAAGCAGAAATAACGGCACAGATATTCAGCCTGCTTCGCCGTCATGATCGCTGGTGAACCCATCTTTTCCTCTAAATTGAAGGTAAGTTCGTCCAACTTAGTGAATTCTATGTCCATGTGTACTTATAGTGTTTGGTAGTCTAGCGTTATTGTCTTAAACTTCACAAATCTGCTGTGATTACTGCCGCGAATGTCCACGGGTGTTAACCTAACGGAACAGTTTTTTGTTTTGCGTTAGCAGTGCTAGCTTGCTGCTCTTAATTCTTTTTTTGTTTCGTTTCAATTTTGAACAATTTGGGAAACTAAACTGTACGTTAGGTTGCACTTTGTTATCTGGCTGCAAGCTAGCTACCATTCTTTGCTAGTAATCAAACTAACTCGTACTGAGTGTTCAATTGGCTTTTCCCAATGCGTTTACTGTGAATATCGTCAGAAATTATGAAAAAATAATAAGTGCCAGGGTCATAAAACATAAAGCGCGTAATGTGCTTGTATGCTCTAGTGTAGGCTATCCTTGTTTGTAAAATTGCATCACTTTGTGTGATGGAGTGAAATCTTCAGGTGTTTGTGATTTGTTTTGTCTCTCAGGGGCTGTAAGGAGTGAGGTGTCCGTCGCTGATAGGAGAAAAAACACCTAAACAAGGTAACGTTACGTGTTGTGATCTCATCTTCTTTTCTTTTGAACAGGCCCCAGTCAAATAAAAAGTAAAACTAAACTAATTTGTATTAACGTTTGTGTTTATAGATGACTTTGAGCGTGAGACAGTGGTGAAAACGCCAAAGAGAACTGGAACATGGCATGTTATAAATGTTTGACCAAGTTATTAAATATCGTATAAATCTGTTCAGTTTCATCATTTGATAATAACTTTATAACACATTTTTTGTGTTATAGATGCAGTGACTGAGACTGGGAGATGCAGTGACTGAAACCTGGTGGTAAGTATTGATCTATTGGCAGTGGAGAAGACACTTTTAATAGACACCTTCTCCCTTGTGAGCTATCAAACTTTGTTATTCTAATTAGAGTATTGTAAACATCACCAAATGTGTTTGTTTACTTCAGTGTTCCAGAAAAAGGTCTTGAAACTACTGGTCGACATCCGCCATCGCCTGAAGGAAACCAGGTAGTGGATGCAGAAGAAACATATTTTTGCTTACAAATGTGGGGACTTGGGGCAGATTGCCTTTGCATACATCTAAATCATTGTCTTTTTCAACTTTGCAGAAGGGGTCATGAAATTCGGTTCCACAGCCACTGAGGTGTATGTACATCAAGGTGAACCTCAAGCACGCGTCGCAAAGACTTGGATTCACTTCGCCCTGATGAGCCAAGCCTACAGGACTTGAATTAAGAGTTTTAAAGGGATAGTTTACTTGAAATAATTTTTTTGAAATGTTTTGGCTTACATCAAGGGCATCAGTCATATAATGGAAGTCTATGGGGATCTCTTAAAAGAGCATGCACAGAGAAGTACAAATTAAACATGATTTAATGAATCATAACTGTAAGTACACGTTGATGGCTTAAGATACGAGATGAGCGGTTTGTGTGAGAAAATGAACAGTGTGTGTGTGTTTTTGTGTGTATATATATATATATATATATATGATCTGCGCATGCGGCGGAAAGTGCCAGAAGCGATCTTGCACTGGTACGTCACTCATTGTTTACACAGATTTCAGAAGTTTTACTGTGAAGATCTAAACATATTAAGATATATTGCATTTTTGTGTATATCTAAATATGTATATATATATATACACATTTATACAATAACAATATAAATACTGTTTGTTTTCTCTCACAAAACGCTCATTTCGTGTCTTAGTCCATCAATGTGTACTTAATTTATGAGTCATTAAATCATGTTTAATTTGGTCTTCTTTGTGCATGCTCTTTGAGGTGGTGACCATAGACCTGCATTATATGACTAACAGACAACAACGGTTTGACCTAAAAATATCAAAATTGAAAATACTGTGGAAACAAAGACCCCTGCATCTTGGATGCCCTTGAGGTAAGCTAAAACATATCAAAAATTAATTTCAAAGTGAACAATCCCTTTAAATTACATCCTTATTATTCGTTCATAATTCTGCCTTCTGTGTTTGATATATCTGGTGCCCAATTCTGATGCCATTCAGGGCAATTTATTTTTGAATAAAGATGCAATATATTATTGATTTATTTGTATAACTGTAGTGATGTATGTATGTTGTCCCATGTTTCCAGAGGGTGGAGGACATGTTTTCTGTGCTTTGAAGATGTTCTCCTATGCTTTGTACATAGTTGTGTGTTTGTTCTAATAAAGCTATTTCTTTGAATAAACAGTATGTGGCAAATGTTCCTTTCCTCAATAAATTCATGTCCTTGATGGTAATAATAATTTAGTCCATAGGATAACAATGACATGAATAAACAACATAATAGCATATCATATGAATATATATATTATTATTATAATTTTATGTCGGCTGACCAATAGTAACAGATCTGCCAACCAATCACGAGTGATTTTCTTGTTTAAATGTAGTGAATTTCAACCAATACTGAGTGAGGAAATTCAAGCCATTCTCTGGCAAGGCGCGCGCAGTGCTGCTATTCATATGCTAATTAGGGCCATTCACACCTCCGCGAGCGCTCCATGCATACGTCATGGTTCGTTTCCGTCAATATGTGGCACAGACGAACGCGACGTTCACAGTCTGTAAATTGTCGTTAACTGCCGAAAATTAGGGAGATTTCCGGCAGTTTACGGGGACGAAAACCCCACTTTTCATGCAGTGAAAAACGTAGCGAGGCTCCAGATAAAAATGTAGTCAGTCTGTCAACGAACGTTAGTTTCCACATCTGCAAAATTGGCGCCTATCGAGTGCCGCTTCTTCTTCTTTGTTTTTTTCTTCTTCTGCGCATTAGGCACGCTTTAATGCAGTGCTGCCTCTCACTGGTTTAGTAACGTCATTGCGTCCTTTATTGTTACTTGCTTGTAAAACCTAGTAAAAAGTATGTATTATTTTATATTACTGAGTAAAGTTAACACATACATCAAGGTTACACATACATCACTGAGAAATTGAATATATATATATATATATATATATATATATATATATAATAAAGAGAGCAATTATTTTAAATTATTGTAATTTAAGCAACTGCCGTCTATAAAACCTGATGAAAACAATGCTGTCAACAATTAGTGATCAAAAGACCTTTGCTAACTTTTTCACTACTTCACTACTTTTTCCCCAATTAACTTAAAAATGTAAATTTTCTGATAATTTACTCACCCAAAATGCCATCCGTGTGTCTTTTCAGTGGAAATTTTCAGTGGATGTTAATTAGATTTGATTGGTAGTAGATTTGATTCAACATTTTGGTTGCCATTCAAGTCCATTGTGTGTAGAAAAATCCTAAAAAGTTTTCCTCAAAAAAGTTAATTTCCTTTCCACTGAAGAAAGAAAGACATGAATCTTGGATGACAGTGTGAGTAAATTATCAGGAAATTTTCATTTTGGGGGGAAAAATCTTTTAAAATGAAGTTACTGGTTGATGTACAAGATATTGACAGTTGTCAGCACTGAAAAAAATGTTATGGTTCAAACTAAATAATGTTTAATTCACTGAATTGGCTTTATCACTCTCTCTCTCTCTCTCTCTCTCTCTCTCTCTCTCTCTCTCTCTCTCTCTCTCCTCTCTCTCTCTCTCTCCTCTCCACTATTGTGTGGTGAGCACACTGGTGCTGTGGCTGCCGTCGCATCATCCCAGTAGATGATGAACACTGGTGGTGGTTGAGGAGAGATCCCCTGACATGATTGCAAAGCACTTTGGGTGGACAGTAGTTCATATGAAAGCGCTAAAAGCCTCATGCATTCATTCAATGTAAAGTTGGAAACAATTAAAAAAAAAATTATATTTGTGTCTGAATGTGCTAACGTTGTTTTCTAAAAATAAGAAACCTTGTGCTCTTAAAATAAGAAAATATGTCTTGAAATTGGAATTGGACACATTGGAGTATGTCAAAATATACCATTCACTTTAAAAAGATACTTAATTAAATGAAAGAAATCACCAAAATTGGCATTTTTTTCTAAGTAAGAAAATGTAAGTAAAATTTTCTCAAAACAAGCAAAATAATCTTTGGCTTTTAGTTCTAGGCTAGTTAATTTATCTTAGAAGAAAAAAAAGAAGAATTCTTGCCTTATTTTAAGATTTTTTAACTCGGCAAGATTTAATTTTTTGCAGTGGATGATGATTTCACTGCCGCTACTGGTCGTAAGCGCCTCAGAAAAGGGGCTGTCCCGTCCCGCTTTATGTGGAACAACTGGGGAGAAACTTCACGTGAGTCTGTTTACGAACGTGTTAGAGTTCAAACCATACCATCCGACGATCCCCAAGACGATGATGAAGTAGTTACTGAAGTGGCAGCTAAAGCAGATCATGACTATGCAGTCACTCCTCTTCCAGGTATGTTTATGCATTTCTGAAAACAAATTATGATGCAACTTTCCAGTTATAGTATATTAAATAATTGAAGCCTTTATTACATGTATGTTCTTTCACTTTCAAGTCATAATAATAATATCAAGAATAATATCATTTTATTAAATGTTGACAAAAATTACTGTTCCAGGAAGATTTCAGCATACTTTTTTCTTATATTAATGTTGCCACAACTAAGCAGTAATACAGTTAAGATAAAGTCTTAAAATGACTACTACAATAAACATTTGTTTTGAATCATAATAAAAGCCAGATAATTATATATACGAATTTGTAAATCAGGCAGGTTGTATTATACTGCACAACACCTTTGAGATATGGACACAGGGTCTGAGTGTGCAAATATCTAATTTTGGGTGTAATATGTAGCTATAATAATATTTGTTTACATAAGTAATTAATAATGGTTTGCCACTGTAATAAACGTTTTTTTGTGTGTGTGTGTGAATCTAGGTGCTCAGGATGCAGCAGCTGCACGAATACAGGATTTGGAAGCGGAAGTCGGAAGGCTGGAAAGTGAGATTATGCAGCTGAGAATAGGTCACTCTCTGTCCCAGTTTCAGAGATTCTGTGCTTCAGATGAAGACATACGTTTTTACACCAGGTTTCCATCTGAAGAGGTCTTCCAAGCAGGCGATTGAGCCCTCAGCATCCATGTTAGTTTACTGGTCTAAGGCCCAGAAGAAAGGACAGGCAACTTCTGTGGAAGCTTCTCACAGTCATCACCGCAGCTTGCCACTGATTGATGAGTTTTTTTTGTACTCCTGTCGTGTTGCTGCAGGACCGAAGGAGAAAGTGTTGGCTGACATTTTCAAAGTTAGTGTCTCCACTGTTAGCCGCATCATAATAACTTGGGCTAGCTATCTTTATCTTGTCCTGGGATCACTGCCCATATGGAGCAAGTGAAGGCCACCATGCCAGAAAAATTTAGGCAGTTCTGTCCAGAGGTGAGGGTCATCATTGACTGCACAGAAATACGATGCCAGAATCCATCTTCACTCACACTCCAGTCTGAGGTGTTCTCCTCATATAAAAACACCACTACCTTCAAGGGGTTAATCGGTATTGCTCCTTGCGGAGCAGTTACTTTTGTTTCCAGCCTGTACACAGGTTCCATCTCCGATCAAGAGTTGACGAAACAGTCAGGGATTCTTGACTTGCTGGAGCCTGGTGATGCTTGTATGGCTGACAAAGGATTCACCATTGAGAAGATGCTGGCAGAACGGGGGGCCAAACTCATCATACCAGTGTTGTAGTACTCGAGACTCGGACTCGTCTCGGACTCGGTCTCGAGACCATATTTTAATGGTCTTGGTCTTGTCATGGACTCGTGTCCATTTGGACTCGGAATTGACTCGTACTCGAACATTTTTTTTTTAGGACTCGGAATTATTCCCGAGTCCACTCGAGTTCAATTCAATATATTTTTCATGATTATTAATGTATGTTAATAAAATATTTCTTTAAATTGATTGACACGCCCAGTGATTGGTGATTTTCTAGTGCGCAACTGCGCATGACAAATTGTAATAAATTACTTTTAACACCACCTACTATGTGGCCTTTTTACCCTAAACTGATCATATTTTTTAAACTCTAAGTAAATTCAGTAAAAAAAAAAAAAAAGGATTTCTCTAAGTAAATAAAAGTAAATTAGGTAATCAACCCTCACTGGTCTCGGTCTCGACTCGGACTCGACCGTCTCTGGTCTCGGACTCGACTCGGACTCGACTCTCTATGGACTCGGTCTTGACTCGGACTCGACTCTCTCTGGTCTCGGTGTCGACTCGGACTCGAGTGAGGTGGTCTCGACTACAACACTGCATCATACCACCTTTTAAAACAGCAGCTCAGTTCAGCAAAGAAAATGTGGAGAGAACACAAGGCATAGCTCGTCTTCGAATTCTTGTTGAGAGAGCCATCAGAAGAGTGAAGGAGTTTCACATCTGGGACACCACTGTACCTTTAACCCTGTCTGGAACAGTTAACTAGCTGTGGACTAATGAGTAATTTTCAGTGGCCACTTGATGTTAAAGGTCACAAAGGGGTATGTACATCTTAGCCTTTTTTATTTTAAAGGGATAGTTCTTTAAAATACAAATTCTGTCATCATATACTCACCCTCAAGTTGTTTCAAACCTTTATGAACTTTCTTCTGCTGAACACAAAGGAAAATATTTTGAAGAATGTCAGTAATCAAACAGTTAACTGTATATTTTGTTCTTTCTATGTAAGTCAATGGGAAAGTGAACTATCCCAAAAAGAGTGACTTATGTAATAAAATGTATTATATCTTAGTTACACCTTGTATTATATTTTTTCACATTGTATAGTTTAATAGATGACTATTTTTGCATTGTTGAAATAAAGCAACAATTGTATTTTCATAAAACATTTATTTTAAATCATATCTCAGTGTTAAAACATACATTTATACAAATATAAAATCTTGAAATCATCACAATTACAGACATAAATAAAAATAATTTACAAAAAATTCCAGATTATCTTTTTTTTTTTACAGGATTAGTAGTATACAGTGCAAATAAGAAATTCATCCATGTAAGCACCAAAGTAGTAAAGGTCCAGATTTTCTCGCATCTGGGCTATCATGACATTATCCCTCCACACTCTTTGAACTGTCATGTCCTCTTCAGTGTCAGTGATGAAGTCACACCAACTGAGTCCAGTTACAGCCAGCTGACCTTGAACCTGCCAGTAATATTTGTGAGATTTTTTCAGGGTTGCCTGTTCATTCACAATTTTTATATGCCCAACCTCAGAAACTGTAGGAACATCTGGGCATTTCACTTCAGCAAGCCCGAAACAGGGATCTGCATTAGGGTCATAAACTTTGGCATTAGGACTGCCACCAAGGTAGGACGCATCTGGGTGCACAACGAAACCACAAGCTGAGACATTCACATTAAACAGTTCAGAGTAACGTTCCAGCACCTCGGGTTCCCTGTCAAGGCCTCTTTTCATTTAGTTTGCTTTACACCCCTGAGTATCCGCCTTGCCAGTGCCTGGCCAGATGTCTCCCCTCGCACATGAGAAACCTCATAAAATCGGCTCGCAGTCACTCTAGGCTTGCGCATGCTTTTCCACAGTGCACACTCGGATTGTTCCTGAGTCCGCTCCTCTATTATAACTGCCAACTCTTGTGTGACACTTAAGCTCTCCAAATGGAATAACTGGTGACAGTTTGGCACGAAGTGCAAGCTCCTCAGAAATGTAGAACCATTAATAGGGAGTTTAGGGTACACAGGAGCATCTGGATGTTTAATGTAGTTCTTGGTCACAACAGGACGGCATTGGTAGGAGAGCACTGAACCTCGAGGCACAGGACCAAATCTGGAGTCCACCAAAACCAGTTCTGAAAAACCGGTAAGGACGCAGGAAATCAAAGGTTGGGGAGTGAGTCCTTTGACAGCTTCTCCAATAGCCAATACTGCTGGGTCAGGGAAGTGACCTAAAACAAATTATACGTTTAGGAAACTTTATCACATGGGTGGGTATTACATTTTTTATGTGCTGTTATACCATGATCTGTCTGAATACTTGATTCTTACTGGCTGGAAGTGTGCAGTAAAACAGTTTAATCCACAGGTAGTTCCAGTCAGTTTAATCATTGTTCTATGTTAATGTGCTACTTTCAATAAACCAGAGATAGGAGATCTCTATCAGACCAAATGTAATTACTAAAAGTCTTTCTCAATTAAAATACATACTATAATTAATGTAAAAAACTGTGAACCTCCATGTTATACATTAAACTGTTTTTATGCACAGCTTAATTATTTCTTATGTAATCTAAAATATACATATTTATTGAATGAAAAGTTTCTTTGTTACTAGTGTATGCTCTGTAGAGTGTAGATTTGCATACACTTCTGGAAGACGTCTTTGGCTTTCTGACCAACTGATCTGTAGTCTCTGCAGAAATCCCCTGAAAGCGAAACTTTATGAGTATATTTTAACTAACTGTCAGAAATTTGCTAAACTAATGTATAGCTAGTTGTAATGTTACCTGTGTTCTTGGTCTATGCCATGTTTGCAGAGTGTCTGTGCATGCCGTAGATGGTGGTACTGTCTGCATCTGCATCATGCTGAAGTGCGCAGTTTGAAAAAGCATTGCAACCAGATGATTGCATAAAGCTTTGCCTGCAGTACATGTGCATGACGAGCTAGTGAACTCAACAGGCACTGTGTCAACATTCAAAGTGATCTAAAGAAAAAGACAAAATCCAATATCAGTATATTTTAATGTAGCAAGTTTAATACTAGATTATAGACCATTTCACAAGATGTAAACACTGGTCCAGAAGCACTTCCTGTTTCAGTTTGTAACGGTTTTCTTTATTTCACATGTAAAGAAAACACCTTAAAGATGTTTGTTTAACTTTTTGATTCAGTTTTAAATGTTCTGTTGGTTGTATTTTATCCCAGCTTTTATGTAGTGTTAAAAAACTGAAACAGGAAGTGCTTCTGGACCAGTGTTGTTTACCTCTTGTTAAAATGGTCTATATATAGAACATTCATGAGAACATCATGAAAAAATGAATTTATAGGAGAAACCCCCTCAAATTAGAAAATTGCAACCGCAGTAAGAAAATAAAAACTTCCCCTTTTACTGTAAGCTTTATAGTTTCACAGACAAGACATTATACAATTCAGTCTCAGACTAAAATGTATGTTTGAGCTGTTTTAACTGAAAGCATATCTTAAAATAAGCCAGTGTCATTCTTTTGTCTCAAGATGCATACCAGTAAGGTTTTTCTTTCTAAGGCATATTTATTAAAAGAAGAAAAGCTACTTAAACGTTCTAATTGAACTAAAGCCTGGCTAAACCTTGTCTGTGAAACCAAGCCTTCATTTCTTATCAAACCTGCAGAGAATGTGGCTCCTCACGCTTCCTCATCGACCTATAACACCTACATCTCACGATAATCTCCCTGTTTCTCACACTCGACGCTGAATATTGCATGACAAAAATGAACAATCACATTAAAGATTATTAAGACACATTTTCGGACTATTTTTATCTGTTTAAAAGACTCTTCAGACTATAAGCTGGTAAATCATTTATTCAAGAACTGCTATAAAGGCAAAACAATCTCTTTTATTTTAAACTAGCCTATCCTTGTATCTCTGTAAACCCGCTTTGAAACAATCTGCATTGTTAAAAGCGCTATATAAATGAAGATGCCTTAACTTGACAATGTTATAAAGGTATGTATAGAAATATCACTTTAGCAAACGCATGCGAATGTATGCTTCGTTCCTTACCTTCGTAATTAAAGATGTAATTTTCGTGGAAGAATTTGTACCCTTTGTTGAGTTTTGAGTGCGGGGCGATTAAGTTCGACAAGACGAAAAACATCCGCTGAAGTCATTGCCGGTATATTTCTCAGGGAAGTTGTGAAGAGCGCGTCTGACTCCATTTCACCGGAAGTGTCTTTACACAACAAACGCTGAACCGGATGTGCGTTCTAACTTCCGTGAAAAAGGCCTATAGTGACAGTAAATGCATTTATAGTGTTACGAAATATTTCTATTTCAAATTAATGCTGTTCTTTTGAACTTCCTATTCATCAGAGAATGGAAAAAATATAAATATAATAATTATTTCCACAAATAGGCTAACTAACCAGTAATTAAAAAGTAACAGGACATCCGTCTATATTAAAGTTGTATTGTAAGAGGTTTTGTGAGTAGTTTTTTGGACCAATAAGTAATACCTCCGTTTTATCTGAATTTAATAGCAGAAAATTCCGCGTCATCCAGCGTTTTATATCTTTGAGACACTCTGTCATTTTAGATGAGTTGGTGTTTTCATCTGGTCGTGATGAAATATATAATTGAGTGTTGTCAGCATAACAGTGGAAATGAATTCCATGTTTTCTTATAATATTACCAAGTGGCAGCATATATATTGAGAACAGCAGAGGGCCTAAAACCGATCCTTGCGGTACTCCATAGTCTACTGACGTTATCTTTGATTTTTTCCCATTTAAACAGACAAAATGAGAACGGTCCGATAAGTACGATCTAAACCAGCTTAATGCCTGTCCCTGGACACCAGTGAAGTTTTGTAGTCGATCCAAGAGTATTTTATGATCTATAGTGTCGAACGCAGCGCTAAGATCACGTAGGACTAGTATTGAGATACAGCCTTGGTCAGAAGCTAAAAGTAAATCATTTGTAATTTTAACCAGCGCAGTTTCTGTACTATGATGCGGTCTGAATCCTGACTGGAATTTTTCATAGATATCATTTTCTTGCAAAAAAGAGCACAATTGAGCGGACACTACTTTTTCTAGTATTTTGGACATAAATGGAAGATTTGAAATGGGTCTGTAATTTGCCAAGTTATTTGGATCTAGTTGCGGTTTCTTAATGAGAGGTTTTATTACTGCCAGCTGGAATATTTTTGGAACATGACCTAAAGATAAAGACGAGTTAATAATATTGAGGAGAGGCTCTTCCACTACAGGTAATAGTTCTTTCAGTAGTTTAGTGGTTATTGGATCTAATAAACATGTTGTTGGTTTATATGATCATTAAAAAATTAACCAGTAAACCTGTTTTTATCATTATTAATTATTTAACATACAATTGATAAAAACAGCATCAAATCAGCATATTATAATGATGTCTGAAGGATCATGTGACACTGAAGACTGGAGTGATGATGAATTGAATATTTTAACATTAAAATTGATCAGCTGATCAGTTAATTTTCCATTTTCGCCGTTGAAATCAAGTTATGCGCTCTGTACGGAACACCAAGCCTGTACGGAACATCGTTAACGCATATGATCTTCCGTACACAGGTGGAGGAGGTAGTTTTCCCCACTTTTCTCAAAAACGATTGGTCCAAAAGACATCAATCAAAGTGTGGACCAATCAATGGATATTCCCCCGGAGAACGATCACACAAACTGCTAGTGGTCGCTGACGTGCGGCGATAGGCGAAAAGTGTACGGAACATACTCTACCGCCTTTCACACTGGCAGTTGAAAACAGCTCCGATGCGGCTGCGAAACGATCGGAAGTCATTCATTTCCTATGGAGATTCGCAGACCGCATGACAATGGGTCAAAAAACGGGTCCGACCGAGTGCGGTGCGAAGAAAATCGTGTCCATTGGTCATCCGGATGCGTTCAAAAATTTGAACTCGTGCGAAAAGCTACGGACGGTTCCTAAATAAAAATACTCATTTGGTTTAAGCCAGGTTTCAGTAAGGCACAGAACATCGAAGTTATTATCTGTGACCATTTCATTTAAAATTACCGCCTTAGGTGTGAGCGATCTAATGTTTAGAAGACCAAGCTTTAGAAATTGTTTGTGTTCACTGATATTTAGATTTTCTGGTTTAATTACAATAAGATTTTTGCTAGATCCTGCACTAGATTTATTGTTTGGCTTCACTAAACGAGGAATAGACACAGTTTCTATATAATGTTCCACACTATGCATATTAGTTAAGTTTGGACCGCAAAGGCTGTGATTTGGACTTTGACTTACTAGTCATCTGGCGCGTAACGTCTTGGAGATGTTGTCCGACGGCACAGCCGCTCCGATTCGGCTGGGATGGAGTCCATCTGCACGGTACAGCCTGGGTCTCTCCCAAAACAGATGCCAATTATTTACAAAGAGCAATTTCTGTTCATTACACAATGACATTAACCATTCATTTAATGCAAATAGTCTACTGAACCTTTCCTGTCCTTGTCTGTACGTGGGAAGCGGTCCAGACACGATGATCGCTGCTTTAGGCGCTGTGCTGCGTACCGTCTCGATCAGGCTCCTGTAGTCCCTCTTCAGAACCTCCGTCTGCCGCAGCCTGATGTCGTTCGCTCCCGCGTGCAGCACAACAGGTCCGACGCGCTCGTCCCCGTTCAGGATCTCAGGAACCTGTGCAGCGACATCAAGAACACGAGCACCAGGAAAGCAGTGAGTGCGCACCTTACCTTTATCCGAAGTAGCGCGGACATGACGGACCATGGATGTGCCGATGATCACGGCGTCGTCGCGTTCCGGCTCGCGAAGAGGGGAGAAGCGATTCCAGGTGTAGATCTCGAAGACCGGGAGGGGCGGAGAGGCGGCTCTGGTCCTGGCTCGTGTCTTCCGCTGTGTGATCCATGGTCCATGTTGTTGTTTCGGTGCCGGAGTGAATGAAGCCCGAGATGATCACGTCCTCCTGGGCAGAGTAACATACGGAGTAGACGAAGTCGGAGTCAAAGAGTTAACGTTACTAACCACTGATTTGTGAGCGTCGGAGCGTGATGCTTCAAGCGATGAGCGCCGATCCAACAGCTCGGCTTGCTTCACCAGCAGACCACGGATCTGTTTCTCGACGTATTCCAGCTCCTGCTTCACCGTGAAGAGCTCGAATGTGTCTTCACCTGCACTCAGAGGTAATGTTAGACAAGCATCTGATATGTTCGCCATTATAACAGATGAACAGTAAATTAGTAGTGATACTACAACTATCACTACTAATTTAGGACTGAAATGCCGGAAATAACCAGGATTCAGTGAAACGGGTGTAAAATGAGACGGCCAATAGGCGCGAGGCCACGCGTGGAATGCTAGCGGGCTAAAGGCTAGTAGCCGGGATTCGGAAGGTTGGATATAAGTAGCGATATCAAAGCAATCCAATTGTTTTTTATAAGGAATAGTATCGAGGATAAGTTCACATGATATAAAAATAGAAAGTGCTTGTTTATAAATAAGTGAAGAGTTCAGATGCAAAAGCCTCTAAATGCCATTTGAAATTTTCTTCTTTAATGATGATTTTTATCAAACTTGTATATTTAAGTTCAGTAATTTCACTTAAATGGCGATGATAATTACCTATTAATTGTTATTTAAGTGAAATTACTGAACTTAAATATACAAGTTTGATAAAAATCATCATTAAAGAAGAAAATTTCAAATGGCATTTAGAGGCTTTTGCATCTGAACTCTTCAAGTGGTAAAGAAGAAAATCAAGGATTAGTGAAGAAATTCTCCGGAGCTACAAACACAAACAACCGAACGCACGCGCATGCGCAAGACCCTTTTTGTGAATCTGATAATGTATAGTTGAATTGTAAGGAAAAGAGTTTGAACTATCTATGTATCTCCACTTTTACAATATGAAATCTCAGCATGGTTCAACAGGACATTTGGCCACTATAGAGGGTAATCGGGCAAATAGTGGGTTTGTGGAACAGGGCATGTGGCTTGTGAGTTGTCAGCCGCGGTCGACGGGACATTTGGCCACTATAGTGGGTAATTGGGCAAATAGTGGGTGAGTGGCATGGGGGCGTGGCTTGTGAGTGGTCAGGGGGATCACAACAGGACTTTTGGCCACTATAGTGGGTAATCGGAAAAATTGTGGGTTCGTGGGACAGGGCGTGGGTGTGGCTTGGGAGTGGTCAGCGGGGGTCGACGGGACATTTGGCCACTATAGTGGGTAATCGGACAAATAATGGATTTGTGGGACGGGGCGTGGCTTGGGACCGTTCAATGGGGTCAACGGGACATTTGGCGGTGCTGCTTCTGGGATTCTTGGATTTTGGGGTGCTCCTGTCGGGCCCCTGGGGGGGTCAGGCCCCCCTGACCTCACACGGGTCATTAGGTCGGCCTGGGAGGTCTTCCACATGTCTGATCTTGCTTTTGTTGAGACCTGGCCTTAATATTAGGATAAGGTTATGGTGATTGTTAATGTTTTACCCTGAAACAACACCGACTGTAATATTTTGATATGATAACTTGATATGATGGTTTGTAGAACTTGCGTTCCACGATGGTACAATGTTGCCTGAGGGCAACAGCTGGATAATAAAAGTTAATTTTTATTAAATATGAAATGTGTAATTCATTAAAAACTTGATAAATATGTTTGTTCAAGTGTTTAGTTAAGTAAATTGGTGTTTTCAATAAATCTTTAATTTTTTTCTTCATGAAAATGTCAAACGTTTCAATTTGTCCATTGTGGTACAATGTTGCCTTGAGGCAACAAACTTTTAATGAATAAATACATTTAAAAAGAATGATAAAGTTTATTGATATTGTTATAGTGTCCAATTTTAAGCAGGAAAAACATAACAAAAACATTTTTTATCACTGATATCATATTGCGTACCATAGAGGGTTAATTACAGTAAATGATACTGACTCACCAGATAGAATGTATTCCTCTATACGATCGGCTTCTCATTCAGAATGCATCAAATTAATCAAACTGCAACTTTTTAATTATTTGTTTCGAAGATTTTCAATCTAAGATTTATAAAACGATCACGACGATCAGATTGCGTCTGCTCTTCTCAATCGAGCTCGTCTCTTTCTGTCATTGCGCATGCTCGTCGACACCCATGGCTCAAATGACAAAGAGCTCTCATTGGTTGATCACCGAGCTTTTATCGAGAATGAATTTGCATATTTATTCATGTCTATTATTTTTTATATTACTCATTTTTTCCATCACTTATCAAATTTTATTAAGGGGATAGATCACTAAATAGCATGAAAATTAAATGTTCTTTATTTAACCTGTGTTACATATGATAAAACAGGTTTTAATTTTTAAAAATGGTTACCGTCGTTGGGAAATGCAGGCACGGTTAGCACTATAAATACTACTAGGAACCTATATACCGATTGTGTGTGAGTAGGGTTTGCAATGTTAGGACCTCATTGCACATAGGCTCACAGGCTCGCTGAGGTTAGTTATGCCAAGCACTTCGTGGCATAGATCACGAAGTGTACGTCTTTCCTGGCATCTCAACCCAGTTTTTTTTTTTCTTTTCTTTGTGTAACCGAAGTCACTTAGTCCTCCCGGTCAAAAACGGATGAAGCATTACAATTTTACTTTATTTTTTCTCCAGGATAACCATTCAAATATATTGTTGTTCTATTATTGTTTTCTGATTATTATTTAGAATTTTTACAGGGTTTTTTTATGATACTTTGCATTAATTATATAATTTTATGAGCTATTTTCCCATTAGAATTATATATATTTGTATTTTATATATATTTTTTCAATAAGTGCAACATTTCACATCTAAATAGAGTGCCAGCCTAATAAAAAAAAAAATGTTCAAGTAGAAGCACGCCATCTAGTGGCTTTAAAAATAGTTACATGTGTGCAATGTCCTGTACCAGCCTGTAAGCTCTTCCTATATAAATACATAGAAAGGCTTTTTTTTGTTTGTTTGTTTTTTAGACATGATTTCTCTATCTTATTCGTTTTTTTTTTTTTTTTTCTTTTAGATATACATCTAGATATTCTAAAAGACTGCTTTATTTTTATTTTTTACGAAATTGTTTAGATAAGTATCAGGTTTTGCATTATGATTACAATCAAACTATAGCATTTGGTAAAAAATTTGTATTTTTTATAAATTTTTATTCAATAAGTAATAAAAACTTCAGAAGGGAACAGCAACAGAAATAAACATAAAATAATGCTAATTAAGTTAATTAGCATATTCTCAGAATTTGCTGTTGCAGTCTTACCAGTTAATACCACATTTTTTGCACATCTAGTGCATGATGCAGAACCCAAACTCAAAACTACTCCGTTTTTAAATTTAACACATTTATTACACTTTTTGAGAAATGTGAGCATATTTACGGCCTTAAAATTATGAAAAGTGAATTTAAGACATGAGGACAGTGGGGAACCCTGGTAATGACGGAATTCCGTCACAGACTCTCTCTCGTAGCGACGGAGTGGAGAAATGTAATCCCTGTATATATGAAGAGTTCAGATGCAAAAGCCTCTAAATGCCATTTGAAATTTTCTTCTTTAATGATAATTTTTATCAAACTTGTATATTTAAGTTCAGTAATTTCACTTAAATAACAATTAATAGGTAATTAATTGTTGATACGGAACTTAATAGGTAACCAGTGTAGACATGATAAAATCGGTGTTATATGATCATATTTTCTTGACCTAGTAAGAACTCTAGCAGCTGCATTTTGTACTAACTGTAGCTTGTTTATTGAGGATGCAGGACAACCGGCTAATAAAGCATTACAGTAATCTAGTCTCGAGGTCATGAATGCGTGAACTAATTTTTCAGCATCAGAAATAGAAAGCATGTTACGTAGCTTAGCAATGTTTCTAAGGTGGAAAAAGGCTGTTCTTGTAACATATGAAATATGATTTTCGAAAGACAAGCTGCGGTCTAGTATAACACCCAGGTCTTTTACTGTAGTGGATAAAGTAACAGGACATCCGTCTATATTAAAGTTGTATTGTAAGAGGTTTTGTGAGTAGTTTTTTGGACCAATAAGTAATACCTCCGTTTTATCTGAATTTAATAGCAGAAAATTCCGCGTCATCCAGTGTTTTATATCTTTGAGACACTCTGTCATTTTAGATGAGTTAGTGTTTTCATCTGGTCGTGATGAAATATATAATTGAGTGTCATCAGCGTAACAGTGGAAATGAATTCCATGTTTTCTTATAATATTACCAAGTGGCAGCATATATATTGAGAACAGCAGAGGGCCTAAAACCGATCCTTGCGGTACTCCATAGTCTACTGACGTTATCTTTGATTTTTTCCCATTTAAACAGACAAAATGATAACGGTCCGATAAGTACGATCTAAACCAGCTTAATGCCTGTCCCTGGACACCAGTGAAGTTTTGTAGTCGATCCA